CGTTTCAGCTGGGAACCGTGGCGGTGTGGGCGAGCACAGACTGGAGCCCAGGTGTCTAGCCGCTCCTGGAACACTGGCCAATCATATAATTTTCATTTTTGCTTCTGCTTATTACATTTAAATATTCTGTTTATGTATGTTGAAACATTCTTGTTTCTCTAGGGTGAAGCCTACTTGGTCATTATGTATGGTCTTTTTGATGATTTATTGCACTCTGTTTGCCAATATCTTGTTGAGGATTTTTGCATTTATCTTCTCTTGGGTTTCACTATTTTCAATCTATACATTTATGTCTTTCAGCCAAATTTGTAAAGTTTTCAGCCATCATTTTTTCATGTATTTTTTCTACTCCATTATTTCTTCATCTTCCAAGGATCTATTTACATGTTAGAACCTTAATATGATTTTACAGTTCTCTGAGACAGTGTCTTTTTATTTTTTTTTTTATGTTTTGTTTTGCCAAAAAATAAAACAAAATTTCATAACAAAATAAGAGCACAACAATAGTTCACACATGGTGTATCATCTTCAAAGTAGTTACTCAGCAGTTCTTGGAAGGGTTCTTGCAAGAAATGAAACAAACAATAACATAAAACTTTCTTTTCAATGAACTAAGATAAACTAGTGGAATACATGAAACTAACCTGTGTATTAAATTTTTTTGAAACAATGAAATGTGTAATTTGGAGAAGTATTTGAACTTCTCCCTACTTATTTATCTTTCTTTTGTTTTGCTCCTTATTTGTGTGTGTGTGTGTGTGTGTGTGTATTTCTCATATAAGAGAAACCATGTGCTATTTGAGTTTATATGTCTTACTTATTTCATTTAATACTGCATTCTCAATTTGCATCCATTTACTTATGAATAACTCAAATTTAACTGTCTTTAGGGCGGATCAAAGATCTGAATGTTAAAATAGAAACACAATCTGCTGGAAGATAAAATAGATACAACTGTTGAAGACACAAGGATTTTCTGAGCAGAACCCCAATGGCACAAGAAATAATACCGAGAATGAACAAATGGGATCATAATAAATTAAAAAGTATCTTCACAGCAAAGGCAACACTACGGAGTGAAAGACAGTCTACAGTAGTGTCTTTTTAATCTTTATTTTTTATTAGCTTACATAATTTCTACTGTTATGTCTTTGATTTGCTTATCTCTTCTGTAATCTTTATTCTGCTATTCAGTTCTTCCAATGGTGTTTAGAACAAAATTCAGGTACAGTTTTTCAGTTCCATAGTTTCCATCAGGTTTAAACTTGGTTTTCCTATTGGTCTACTTAGATTTCTTATTTTTAGTTCATTACAAATGTCAATTCTTTCATTTCTGTTAGCTTAGCTATATTAGCTGCATTAAGTCTTTGATAATTCCAGCTTCTGAGTCATTTTGGAGCTTCATCATTCCTACAGAATGATTCACATTTTCCTGGGTTTTCATCTGTTGAGTAATTTTTAGCTGTATCCTGCCTTTTATGAATGCTGCATTATAAAGACTCTGAATTCTGTTATATTTCCTGAATGAACGTTGATGTTTTTATTTTAACTGCCAATTAACTTGGCTAGACACAAAATATAGACTCTCATGTAATGGCTGCTATCTCAAACCTGAAGCCAGTTTTAGCTGCAAGACCCTATTTTTCTGCTTTGTATATGAATGATGTAAGTGTCAGCCAGACACATCTCTGAGATGGAATCTCAGAGAGTTTTGCATAGAATTTGGGGTAACCTTTTTTTTAGCTCTTTTTTTTTTTGAGATTTTTTTTCTCTTACCATCTAGCCAAGGTGTTTTTCTACTCTCCGGCCTCTGGTCCTTCAGGCTAGAAATGTGGTGAGTTTTCTTTGCAGTTTTAGCTGCTTCACATTGCACTGCAACTGTGGTCTCCTCCAGGGCAAAACCTATAAGAACTAGAAACTCACATTGTACTGGCCTTTATTTCTTTTTTTTTTTTTTTTTTTTTTTTTTTTTTTTTTTTTTTTTTTGTCTTTTTTTGTCTTTTTTTGAGATAGGGTCTCACTCTGCAGTTCAGGCTGGCCTTGAGCTCACTTTGTAGCCCAGGCTTGTCTTGAACTCACAACGATACTCCTGCCTCAGCCTCCTGAGTGCTGGGATTACAGGCGTGTGCCACCACCCCGGCATGTACTGGTTTTTATTTCATATTTTGATTTCCTGAAAAATATCTCTGTTTTTTTGTTCACTTTCTTGAGCTTTTTAAAACATATTCTCCGGAGTTTACAGCTGCTACTTGTGGAAGGGTTAGTCTGTTAGGAGTTTCATTCATCATGCCCAAAATTAAACTCTGAATGCTTTAACTCTTACTTATATCTCAAACTATTTGAAAGAATCTAAAAATCCTGAATTTATGTTATGAGACACCAATTTTGTGGAATATTATGCAATCATTAAAATATTACTACCAAGGGAAAAAGAAGAAACATATTTATGAGTCCGTGAAATTTACATGATAAAAATCTCCACTTTGATTATAGCTATTAAAAAGTTGTGAATACATGTAAATGAGAACCAGGAAGAACTAGAAGGTAAACTCTTGGAGATGGAGAAGGGAGTCAGGAGGAGGAGGAAAGAAAGGAAGAGAAAGGTAAAGGAAAATGATCATGATGTGTTAAATGCAGGTAGCACTTCTCTAAAGCAAACATCATTATTCCATATTAGAAATGTACTTTTTTATTTGTCAATAAAAAATGAAGGGAAATTTTGAAAAAATAAAGATGTTTTATTATTAACTTAGTTTATATCCTTTGTCTTTTCAAAAAGGTGTTCAATGAATTTGTGCAATGAATTTCAGCACTGTTAAAAATAACTCCAAGGGTGTCGGGGATTTAGCTCAGGGGTACAGCACTTGCCTGGCAAGTGCAAGGTAGTGAGTTTGATTCCCAGTACCAAAAAACAAAAAACAAACAAACAAAAAATAACTCCAGGGATGGCACCTTATGCCTGTAATCTTGAGCCTCCAGGAGGCCAAGGCAGGAGAGTCACAAGTTCAAGCCCAGTCTGGGCAAGTTAGCAATTTAGTGAGATACTATCTTAAAATAAAAAGGGAGATGTAGCTCAGTGGTACAGTGCTTCCTACCACAAAAAAAGACCTGGCTTACGCAGTATTCCAAGTGTTTGTGTGGGGGTGGATTTAGAGAGAAATATTTTCTCTCAATCCATAATTTTTTTTTTCATTTTGTTGATTATTTTCTTTGTCATGCAGAAGTTTTTTTTGGTTTCATACTGTCTCACTTGGTTTATTGTTGTCACTGTTGTTGATTTTGCTGTTGTTGTCACAGCAAAAAAATAATTGCCAGTATGAAGCCAATATCAAGATTTTTCCTCTAGGAGTTTTATGATCTCAAGACTTATGTTCAAGTCTTTAATGCATTTTAAATTGTGTGTGTATGTGTAAGGGATATAAAATAATGATTTAATTTTATTCTTTTGCATGTGAATATTCAGTTCTCCCAGCATCATTTATTGAAGTGACTTTCCTTTCCCCATTGTGCATTCTTAGTGGACTTTTCATAAATTACTTGACCTTGTATCCTTGGGTTGACTACTGGGATTTTCCCTTTATTCCATTAATCAATGTTTCTTTTTCATGTCAGTACCACATTGTTTACTATAATATATTGGTAATACGTTGATGATATGTTGGTTCATAAACACTTCTTTTCATGATCAAGTTGGTTCACTAACAGGAGTGTTTGGCAACATTTTGCTTCCATTCTCAAATTCCACATCAGGTGATGCGCGTGAATGTGGCCATCTTCCCCAGAATCATGGAACAAATTAAGTTTGTGAACCCAGGTACCACTGTAATGTGAAATCAGGAAATGTGATGTCTCCAACTTCTTTGTCAATAATCTTTGACTATTTCATGTCTTTTTGTGGTTCCATATGAATTTCAGAATTGTGGTTTCTGTTTCTGTGGAAAATGCCATTGGAGTTTTGATAAACATTACATTGAATCTGCGTATCACTTTAGGTACAATAAGCATTTAAATAATATTAATTCTTCCATTCCATGAACATGGAATACCTTTCCATTTATTTTTCTTTCTTTAATCAATATCTTCTAGCTTGTATTGTATATGTCTTTTACTTCTTTGGCTAGATTCATTCTTAGGTATTTATTCTTTCAGATCCTATTATAAACGGAATTGCTTTCTTTACTTCTATTTTGAATAGTTCACTGTTGGTGTAAAAACTCCCTACTGATTTTTGTATGTTAATTTTCTTACTATTGTACGGAGTTCATTGTTTTAACAACCTTTTTAGTCTAGGTTTTTCTACATATAGGGCCATGTTATCTGCAAACAAGGATAATTTTATGTCTTCCTTTCCAATTAAGATATGTTTTATCTTTATTTGTTGTTTTTTTTTGTTTTGTTTTTCTTCCGGTACCAGGAATTGAACTCATGACCTTGCACTTGCCAGGCAGGTGCTTTGCCGCTGAGCTAAATCCCCAGCCCCATGTTTTATCTTTATTTCTTGTCTGATTACTCTTGACACTAGACTCATTTACTTGCACTGAGAGTTTCAGTAGGTGGAGAAGCAGACACTAACCAGGTTTGGAAACCACATGCACTTTGTGGCTTGGGACTTGGAACCCATCCTTTTCCCTCTGAGGTCCAAATCTGCTCTTATGGGAAATGTAACTTCCAGTTTTAAAAATAAGTATTTTACACCAAATCCAGAAGTCATAGATTTCAAATGGTTTTATAAAACATGTTAAGCTTGAGGATGTAAATCTAAAATACATGGATTAGATTTTGGCCGAAATTACATTGGAATTTTAATAGACAGAGAACAACATTCTCAAGAGAACAAGCTTGTTTTTACATTCCTTACTCAAATCTCAAATATTTAAGAGATGCTTTTGAATAATTATTAAAAAAGCAAAACAAATAAAAAAAACTCTTTGAGTTTCAGAACTTGAAAAGTAGGCTGTCATTAACTATTATTTCTACATAGCAAAGTGGGTTCTTGGTATAATACTACCTCAGAAGAGGTCAAAGGAAAAAATATGGCCTATATTCAAGAATTTTCTTTTGTCATTTACCACCTGTGAGAATTGTGGGAGGTTATTATTTTTTTTGTTTTTTTTTGGTTTTTCTCCAGTACCAGGAACCAAACTCACGACCTTGCGCTTGCCAGGCAGGCACTTTGCCGCTGAGCTAAATCCCCAGCCCCTGTGGGAGGTTATTTTAATTGTTAAAAATGTAGTTTCTCCACCTATTAAGTAGGGCTATTATTTCTTCTTACATTGTCATTGTATAAAATTTCTGGCCCATAGTTAGCCCTTGAAAAGTCCCTGGCTTATTATTATTACTTTTCTGAATAAAAATGTTCATGCAACATAGAGTTTTTATTATTCTCCAAACATGTAGTAGTAATTTTAAAATTAAATTGCTATTGAATTTATTGTTTGCATTAAAAGTTCAGGGTTTAGCTAGATAATAGATTAAATATGTTATTTTTAAGTCATCAGAACTGGTTTCAAATTCTGCCTCTAGTACTTATTAGTTATGTGGCATTTTCAAGGGACTTAACTTCTCTAAGCCTCAGCTCTGTGATCTGTAAAATGGGAGCAATAATGACACTTACTGTTGTTATGAAAAGGAAATGAATACTTGAAATAGTACCCATTTGTATAACTGCTAAAAAGGGTAACTATCATAATTGTCATCAAGGACAAAAGTTCTTTTTTCCTATATATTATCACAATCCACTTACATACCAAAAATTACTACCTAAAATAAAATACTACATACACAAATGTTCAATACTTGGCTTCTTTCTATCTTCCCTTAATATTACCCATCAAATTTATGTACAGGAAGCATTTATAATTATGTTTTTACTGGAAAGGTGGTGCCCAAACGTAGATTCATTGTCATTAAATTTATTACTATCATGAAGTGGCAAACTGTTGATGTCATAGTAATTGATCATTGAATGAATCACGTGTCTTAAATTGCAACTTTGGGTTCTTGAACCATGCTTCTACAAAAGGAGTAGGAAACTTTATGTACGAAATTAATTTCTGTACCTCTTT